TTTGAGTCTATGCATTATGTGTTATACCCTGAATACTTTACTTGCGCACTTTAGCCGCAACTCTGGGATAAATTTAACATGTATGCGTAATTGCCTAAATTCATGTGATATGTCAAAGTTTGATTTGATTCGTTCAGTATTTGTACCATGTGTTTGTAGGACCTTGCTATATTATGGAACCGAAAATAAGGCATTAACCCTACCATCACTTCAAACTCGAAAAACGGGGGAGTGGTGGTTTGAAAATAGCCTTTTTACCTTCTTGCTTAAAGTACTTTGTACTAAGTAAGTGTGGGGGAGGGGTTGTTGGCGGATGCTTTTCTGAGGTTAGATACAATTTAAAGAGGGAGAAAAGGAAGAGCATTCAATGTTGATGCTAGCCCATTGATAGGTGAGAAGTCTGGCAAACAACTAGCGGAGTGTCCTTAGGCCCGTCGGTGAGAAAATATGAGTAAGTAGACTGCCCTAAGTTGCTGAGCCATTATGTAAATCACTACATAAATCAAGTGGAAAAATGCTCTGGGTAGGGGCCTGAATGGGAAAGATCCTGAAGAAAAGCCATATGGACACTGAAGAATGGGTACGAGGGAAGTGCATTGAATTTTATAATGTGAGGTGTAACTGTAAGCCTTCGGTTTTATAATATGTGTAGGAGTAACATTGCATTGAAGTACGGTCTGAATTGGGGATCCTAAGTTCACTCTTCAGTGGCATATTTGCATTTGAATTTTTGTGTTTTATGTTATGTGTAACAGTGATGTCCCTAGGGAGTTGTTTACACACACACAAAGGGCTAAAGGGTAAAAGCACATAATGTATTTGATTCGGTTGTGAATTTTTGTTTTATTGTCTCCATGATTTCTACTGAGTGCTAAAGTTCCCGAGTCGCATCTTGAATAAGAGAAGTTAAATTTCCTCTGTTCTTTAATGCTTGAGGACAAGCATGCTTTAAGTGTGGGGGAATTTGATAAAGTCCATAAATTGTGTTTCAATTGTTGATATTTTATTAGGTTATGAATTCGGATGGATTTAATTCATTGGTTTTATTATTATTTCTTGTTAGGAGCTGGAAATAAGAGATTGGAGCTGATGTGGACTAATTTGCACGATCAGGGATTTAAATACAAAATTAAAGAAGTTTTGAGGCAAAAGTGAAAATATTACAAAGTTGAGGGACCAAAGCTGCAATTCGTCCACCTTTTGTTGTTTTCCTGCGGCTGACCTAATTTTATTATAAAAAGGATTATTAGTTTTGTTAGGGGACAGCCGTACGTGAGGCAAGGCTAGCACCTCAAACCTTTTATTTCTTCCAATTTTTCTTGAATTTCTATGGAGAATAAATCCGCCATGTTTCCGTCCATGAGTAGCTAAAGATTTTCTTTCTGATTCAAGGGATTTATTCAGTTATTCCATTATGAGGTTTTATTTTTAATTTATTGTTCTTGCCTATAATTTAAGTATTTGTTGATTCTTGTATTGAGTTATGAAAGTAGATATCATTCCAATTGACAACTTGACTTGTTATTTATTTTCTAGTGCTATCTGCGAGTTGAATGTTACGTAATAGACAAGAACTGGTAGTACTGAGTAGCAATTAGACAAAGCATGTGTATTGGTGAGACATTGAATATGCATGTTAGTTTAAATGTGGAATCAATGAGGCAAAGTCTGAATAGTTGCAGCTATCTCAATTGTTTAGATTTTGGTTCAATTATATTTCCTTGGTTTTTATGCTATCATTGTTTGGTATGAAACGCTATCGTGCCCAGCCGAATTATGATAAGGACAAATTGAGTGCTAGGCTTGGTTAGTTAATTTAGAGAGATTAATTGATTTATTACGGCTATCCTAATAGATCTTTGGTTGAATGCTTAAATTGCAAGAGTAGTTTTAGTAGCCTATGATTAATGAAATAATTGAGTTATCCGTTCCTTGAGTCAGAAGTCTGTTACTTTGATTTCTTTTCTTTTATTTAGTTTTCGTTATTTGTATTTCATTATCTTGGTTTAGAAAAACAATCCAAAAATCTCCTTTGCATTAATTTGAAGGAAACAATCCATCGTTCCCTAAGGAGACGACCTTACTTCCTTATATTACAGTAGTTTGAAGTAGGTAATTTTATTTGTGTGGATTTGACACTCCATCACTGAGCTTCCCTGACGTTGTTTGCCTCAATCTGCCACTTTTTCAGCTCCTGAATCTTTGTAGATCTAGGTTTAAAAATTTAGTTTTTGGGTTTGAATGTGAAGAAGAAGAAAGGAGAAGAAGGAGGAAGGAGGGAACGGGTATAAATGTTCAGTCGACTGTAAATGAGTAATTTTTCCGACTGCAAAAAAGCAATTCAGCTTATTAAATACATAATAAGCTATGATAAACAAATACTAATAGATAATTTTTGAATTGATTTTTAATTTCTATCATTATGATAGTTGTATTCGTACGAGTAGTAAATTCATTATATTTATGACATCATTAAAAAGAAAATAAATGTGATACATAAGTATTATTTTACTAAAAAATAAAAATTAAATTCTTATACAGTCAAAGAAAAATAAGTTGTGAAAAATCTTTTTCAAAGAAAAATATATTAAAAAGGAACAAATAATGAAAAATTACAAAAAAATTCAAAACGTAATTAGTGAAGAATAAAAATAAAAGAAAAGAAATAAAAATTTGAATATTGGCGGATTCATCCCAACATTTACTCTTTACTGTCAATCCATCCCAAACTTTTAAAATTGAGTAATTATATCCCAAGGTTTTTAATATTGAGCGCAACCGTCCCATAACCTAGTTATAGAGCTGACACATGTTTTTCTTGTTTGCTGACACATGTCTTTCTTATTTGTTGCTTTAATTAAGCACCATGGATGATTTTTGACATCTTACGACTACATGGAAAATTTTTATTTTTATGTTTTTTCCATTATGAATACATGTTGCTTATAATCAATTTTCTCTAGTTACCACTTTTGTTTATCACATGTTTCTTCAACGTCGTTGCTTCTCAAATGTTTTGATCAGTCTATTCGCACTGATAAGTCAAACTGGAATTTTTTGTGTCTCCAAATTAAACTTTCTAGATCTATAAAGAACCCTTAATCATATGCCCAAAAGTCCTGTATTACACTTTTTTCCCTCTTAAAAGGGCATTGTATGTGCTAATTAAGGACCATATATATATTTATATATATATATTTATATTATTGTATTCACGAATATTCTTGTTAGCATCTTTGGTTGCGTCTCCATGATATATATAGCACACACATTTCCGATCTTAAAAGTCCTATATGAAACAATATGATTCCCAATATTTATATTGATCACGCCGTTGAACTCAATGGAATTGAATGAATGAGTTGAGTCATGACATTTATTTTTTGTTAGGGACATCACAATTGACCTAATCCCTTCCACCCCGCTTTTTTTTTAAATTTGTTTCCTCCGTTCCAATGTTTTCCAAAACAGGAGACATCAAACTATTCTAACTAAATAATTGTTCTTCCTTAGTCATTGATGTTGTTTGTTTTAAAAGAAAAAAAAAAAGAACGAAAGAAAGCGGACAATCCAATCCACGTTTCCAGGTTTCAACATCCATAAACACTATCCTTAAACCACTATAACCAACGCAAAGTTTACTACCATTAACTCATACATCTTGTGCTCTCTAACGTTTTGCGCAAAAGCCAAGGAACGAATGAGATAATCCCGCTCTTTGTTCGGATCACCAGTTGGATGAAAATAGTGCTGAAGAAAAGAGACAGAATCGACAACCATTTTTGGGTCCTCGTCGAAAGCCATTTTCCCTGGAAAATGTCTCCATGTGAGACACTTTGCTGACAACTAATCTCAGAGCTATCATGATGGAGGCGAAGGATTAATAAAATATTAGGGTTTATTTTATGGACATTTTTTTCATTTTATATTAGGTTGTTCAGGGTTTCGTTATTTTCTTTTCTATTTAATGGCTTTAGCCGCCTCTTTGTATGTAGATGAATATATAAAATTGAGAGTGTTCTCTCTTCCAAATTCTTGTGTAGAATTTGAGCCTACCTTCCGCTATTCAGTTATTGAATCAACGGAATGTGGATGCCTTGGGATTCCGGTATTCTTAGACTAAAGTGATCTTAGGAAGGTTGTATTTTTGGGTATTCAAAGACTAAACAGATCTACGACGGGTTATGGGTTACTTGTTAGGGTTTATCGGTTTGATCCCTTAATCTGGAGGTTTCGCTAGTGCATCCGTTGATATTCAGAGCCGAAAGGTCCTGCAATATCACAACCAATGGTCGTTCCGTAAGGTTTGTTCCTTATTCTTAGGGATACGGTGTTGAAAATTCATTTTATTGATTTGTGCTTTCCCTTACGGGAAACCATTGTTGTTATTGATCAATTAATCATTTGTGTTACTGGTGTTGTTTGGTCTAAAGTTATTGGGTTAAGTGCTCAATATTTTTTTTTCCCAACGTTGTCCTTCAAGTAATTAGTTACTGCTCCGTTCCCGTTAATTGGAGGAGAAGTGGAGTTCTTGATAATTGGCCGCTAGTGATTAGTGTAAGTGATTAATTTGTGGGATTTATTAGCGTGGCTGAATGTACGGCTTACACATTGATTTTCGAATTGTTTCGGTGGAGAAAAAAAAAGACCAACTTAGGGGTTCATTAATTAATCAATTTGTTATTGCTGCGGCTTGGAAAAGTTGATGTTGGATTCAGGATTGTGTTCACCTTAGTTTTCAAGAATTTGGCTTCTCATTTCTGGGTTTTGGGTGGGATAGTTGTGTTTGATTCGTGATGCTCCCAAGACACAAGGCGCTTTTCGTACACATGGAGGAAGTTGTTCCTTCGAACCATAAACTACAGCAACGACAACAACTGTTGCAAAGACAAATTGATCAAGTGTGGCATGGCATTGTTGTTCAATTTCGGAATGATTTGTGAAAGCAACTTGAACCAATAAATTCGAGGCTGGATCAGTTAATTGCCGATACAAAGTCAATGCGCCACCTGAAGAAGTGTTCTTTCAAGAGAGAGTCGTTGGGACGGCTAGTGGATTGCGGTGCTTGTCAACAGCCACTCCAAGGTCATCGTTGCAAGGAGAAAGATCGTGGCTTCAGGAAAGATGTCCATAGAGGCTCTTCGGCTACTAGAGCTCTTTGGTTTTATGATCTAACCATCAAAGAGGCTCCTGCCAAATCATCTTCGGCTGCAGCTGCAGATGACCAGCCACTACACCACAAGCGGGTCGAAACTACAGTTGTACATGCCCCTAATATTGCTGTTGATTTTTCCCTTGTTGCGGCATCTCGGAGCTACTTAGACGATTGGAATTTATTGGAGAAAACTGAAGTTTGTGATGCAATTTTTTCTCCGGCTGTAGATCATGATCCCTATGAGGATAGCAATATTGATTGGACTCGTCCACCGGTGTATGATATTTATGCCGATGAGCAGGGTCAGAGCGACTTGCTGAATGTTGATTTTCTTTTCCGAGAACCGAATGACGACTTTGATAGAAATGATATTGTTCCTATTCATAGTTTCCTTCATGGTTTATTTGGAAGCAACATTCAGAATCATGAAGGGTCGCATCATTCAGCTCCGGAGTTGCATTCATTGACCCCTTAGCTTTTCAAGACACAACCTTTGGTGATGCTTACCTTAATCCACCGGATCCATTTTCCCTACAAGAAGTTAGTGCATTCTCGGATTGGCGAACCAAAATTCTTCTTTGGAGCTGAAAAGAATCACGCTAGACGCAAAACTAGACGCAAAACTCAAGGAAGAGTTTTCTCTCACCCCGGGAGAATAATGGAGGCGAAGGATTAATAAAATATTAGGGTTTATTTTATGACATTTTATTTATTTTATATTAGGTTGTTCAGGGTTTTGTTATTTTCTTTTCTATTTAATGGCTTTAGCCGCCTCTTTGTACGTCGGTAGTTGATGAATATATAAAATTGAGAATGTTCTCTCTTCTAAACTCTTGTGTAGAATTTGAGCCTACTTTTCAGTATTCAGTTATTGAATCAACGGATTGTGGATGCTTTGGGATTCCGGTATAGACTAAAGGGATCTTGGGAAGGTTGTATTTTTAGGTATTCGAAGGCTAAACAAATCTACGACGAGTTATCGGTTACTTGTTAGGGTTCATCGGTTTGAACCGTTAATCTGGAGGCTTCCGCTACTGCATCACATCATCAGTTTCATGTTTCTTTGTAAGACTAAAACACAGTTTTACAGTATGTTGAGTGAAGAATTCAGTCCGATGAGGACCAATTTTTCAGTAAAAGTGTGAGTTATGTTTAACGATTCATTTTGATTACCTCGTAGTTCTTGTACTGGAGAAAAATAAATTAATAAACTATTATTAGAGCAAATTATTCAAGCTCGTGCTTTTTCCACCTTTTTCAATATCATGAAAAGAAAAATTAATCATCATTTATAAAATATGACAATCGTCTATCATATTAAAGACATCATACACAAACTCAATATATATAGACAGTTAGCTACCTAGTCATAATCAACAAAAAACAACACCACTAGCTGTTGCTTAATCAAAACTTAAGCCCCGTAATCCTCTCGCAAGAACCGTTGCTCAGGATAAAAGTCGACAACCATTGGAATGCCATGTTGTATCTCTTCAAATATCTGACCATTCAACCCTTGTCGCGCTTTTGCTGCTGCCTCAACATCTTCATATTCCACAAAAGCCATTCCGAACCCTGCTTTTCTTGAAGCTTCTTCATCCCACGCATCAATACCAACTGGACGGGGCATCACCAATTTCACTAGCGTACCAAATTTTTCGCACTCCCTTCCAACTTTATCCATTACGTACTCATAATCTAGGTCACTAACTATCTCAACCGGATCAACCACATCTTTCAAGCACAAAACCTTAGATGCGGCCCTGTTGCTGCTTCTCGAGCCTGATCTAGAACGCCACCTTGATCGTCTCTCCGCCCTCTGCCATTCTCGAGATCTAGATCCAGGCCGATGGCCCCTTACTCGCTTAGTATCATAGCTTCTTGATGAACTTCTTTCCCTTCCACGTTTCGTGCCATGGTCGTGGCTCCTCAAAACTCCGCAAAAGTCACAACTGCCTTTATATAGACAGTTAGATGGGGATTGATTTTCTTCGAAACCCGGCGGCATCTTTATGCTCAGATTGATGTTAATTGATATCACTCCGTTATCAAAACTCACTTCTGTATTCCTCATCATCAGTTATGTAGTTTGGTTTCTATCTCTCAGAAAACGGGGGGTTTATAGTTTTGTTTCGGTCTCTAAGAAAACGGGGGCTTTTGGTCTTGAAGACGGTGTGTAATAAAGGAAGAAAAGACAGGAAAACAAGAGGAGCGCTTGTGGAAAAACCCCAAGCCATCGCCCCCATATTTATAAGCGATGAGAATTTCCCTTTTCTTTTCAAGGTGAGTAGTTTCCAGAAAGGGATTTGGATAGATAAATTTAAGGTAATTAATAAACCCATTAGGAATTATGTTTTACCGTATAATACTCCAGTTAAAGCCATTTATATTTGCCAAACTAGATAATTAATTTAAACGAAGAGAAATAAACAATGAAGACTTACACAAAATTATATTTTAGTCAAGTGACTCGTGCGCACGTTTTCGAACTGCTATTAGTTTCTGTTAAGGTTGGAAAAGTTAGATATCTTTTCTTTTGTTTTCGTATTTTTTGTATGGAAGATATAAATATTTGCAATGTATCAAACTTTCAAAAGAAAACTAAAATCAAAAGTATATTCATAAAAGAAGTTGCAGCTCGAGTGTCACGGCAAAGACATAATTGATAAGTCTTTATGGCCCACACCATCCTTTGAAAATCTTTACAGAAAAGATCAATGGTGCTCCTTACATTGTTGAAAATCCCAGCATTACGCCTCTCCCAAAATATAATACTTTCTTGCCATTACAGAAAACAGGACACTCATCTTAGAGCACAAATGCTTTTTTCCCATCACAAACTCCGTCATAAGCAATTGCACATGTCCTATTGTTATCTAAGATACTACAAATCCGAGGTGTCAACTTAGTTATCATTCCCCAATGCGGTCACGACCATGTCCACGTCATCGTCATCGTCATCACGGTCGAAATCGCAGTTGAAATCAATATCACTTAAAGCCAAAGGCCTTAATGTTCCCCCACATCGCTGAGGCATCCCAAAAGGCGTGCGCAGCAAATGCTACTGGAATGTTCAATTTGATCCTCTTTCAACAAATTAGCTCCTACACCATACACACCTAAATTAGGGGGCCAAATGAAGGGGAAAAATTGCTTGATAATTATCTTAAAAAGAGAGAAAAAAAATTTTCGATATTGCCAAAACAACAGTTAGCATACAAAATAAAATGTTCTCTTCTAAAACGTGACATCTTCTCTCCCTCACCCCTCTCTCGTTCTTCCATAATCCCCCGCAATTTAATGTATTTATCGAAAAGAATTTGTTATGCCATTAATCTCATTTGTTTAGAGACTATAAAACTCATTTCTCATTAGTCTCCTTCACTTGGATATCACAAATTACTTTTTTAAAAGTGGCTTTTCAAATATGGCATGATGATTAATTAAAATAATCAACAGAGTGATAATTAAACAAACCTCAAACTCAAGCAATAGTCGTCTGAACTCATGTAGATAAGCAAAGGGAAAAAAAAAAAAAAAAGCAACAAACATTAGTGTGCAAAAATTAAACAGAACTTGCTTGTTCAAAGCAACTTAAGAAAAAATAGAGTAAAATAGAAAATTATCGATGACAATTACATAGATGGTAGCATTGGGCAATTCCATTAAATCAATCATGGATATTTTGCAACCAACGCTCTTTATGGGATCGCCACAATTCTCAGTTCAATCCCTTCATCAAAGTTGCCTGATATCACAAATAAATGAAGGGGAAAAACAATTAAAAAAAGATTTATAAGAGACAAATAGCATGAACAACAAGGACATGTTGTTTCAATTTTTGCACTGGTCCATGATCTTTTCTTGATCTATGATGAAGACGTGGATAAGATGAACCAGAGAAGAACCTATATAGTATCATAGTATTCGAAGGGAGAGTAGGGGGTTCGATGGAAAAAAAAGTTAAAATAATATGAGAAAGGTATTTTTGAAAGAACAAAAATAATTTGTTTGGATGCTACTTGTTGTTTTGGCAATAACAATAATATGAGAAAGGTATTTTTGAAAGAACAAAAATAATTTGTTTGGATGCTACTTGTTGTTTTGGCAATAACAACTCTCGAAAAAAAAATCACAAGAAGGGAAAAATTTCAAGATTATCTTAGGAAGGGAAAAAACAAAAGGTTTGATCTCAATAATTTTGCATTGTTCAACTCGCTCACGTCAACCTCTAAATTCCAACTCAAGGTAAACCGGCAAATCAAGCAAAAAATAAATAGTCTTGCTTGGGTAGAAACTTTTCTCTCTTTCTTTAATTAGAGGTGATTCTTCCCCAACATCTTACAGCCCCGACGGGAATGGAATCTTAAAATGGTCTCTCCTTAAAACTGTCAACTTCATATCATCCGGCGGTTCAGACTTCAGTCCTCTCCACAAAGACCATGTACTTTCTGATTTTAAACCATTACAAAGCCGGCAATCCTATTACCTTTCCAACAATAAAGTCTTTGAACTTAAGTTTAGACCGGTTGATTCACAACCACCTTCAAGGTTCACAAATATAAATTGAGAGTTACAAACACCAATCCGAGGTTTTATGTACAAAAACCTGTTAAGAGTTACGAACATTAAAACCCCACGTCTACAAATTTATCAAATTTCATGCCATTACCATCGCCATCGCAATGACAATCGCGGCTGCCAATTTCAAAAGATAGCCAACTTTTTATCCCTATGCGGATAGACATCCCCAAGGCTCCCAAAGCTCGAACCGTGCATCTTACTGATCCGTTCAATCTCACCTTATTCACCTCACCCCACCCAAATTAAAACGCACTATCAAGTAATTTTCTCAGAGACAAGTGGTCGACCATCAATGAAATAAAACTGAAAATTGCTATTTTGAATCTAAAACGTTCACAATTTATGCGGTGAAATATATATACACACACACATATATGTGTGAGTGTAACAAGGAAAAGGAATATTAGTTCCTTGTGCAAATAAAATTAAGTGGGCCGCAGACTTGCATGATCTTGGATTCTCATGTATTCCTTTGTTTACGGTAGATCAACATTGTTTTTTGTTGTTGCTTTCGGTATAAAGATCGATTTTATTACTAGGGAAGCTATAAATGAGCATACCAAATCGGGTACCGATATTGCCATATCAATTTTTTCAAAACCTACTCATGACCTCAAGAGATATGATATGATTGATGTAGTCTTTCCCTAATTTACTGATTGTATGGAAATTCATGAGTATACTCTTTGAAATTTTGCTCAAGATGTGCCTTTTAATTCCGTTCGAAATTTCCAATTGAAGAAACTTGGGCCGAACAAGGCTCAAAATGTTGAAAACTTCTTCAACGTGATACTGTAACTTCAAAATATTGAAAAAGGTACCAGAGAGTACAACTCTTCTCGGAGTCTGAACCTTTCAACGGAGCTCACAATGTCGGCGCCTATATTTTTTTGTGTGTGACCCTAATCTAAAATAAGAATCGAAAGCTGAGTCAATAGGATCTCTTGACAAGTAGTAGCAGCCTTGCCACAATCAATCTCACGTACAATTGAACGAAACTACGTGAAACCTAGGAAAAGAATGCTGCTTTGATATGCCCTTAGCTTTAAGTCTTCGAGAAAAATCGCAAAGTGAATGCTGCTTTGATATGCCCTTATGGAAGATTATGAAGTTGAGGGGAATGGATTATTTAATTTAGCTCTTAGCAACAGTCAAAAACATGCGAGGGAAGTAGAGACGACTAAACTACTCGCTACCAATCTCAAAAGTGTGATCCTCCGATGGATGTGATATAAAGGGAAAATCGTTCAAAAAGAGGTGATATGGGTGAGAAAGAGGGACGCACAGAGAAGCTGCTCTAAAATTGGAAAAGTAACGCTCACCATTTGCAAATTAGAATATCAAAAATTGAGAGCCTGGCCTCCTCTTGGAACTCTTGACTGCGAAGTTCTTGAGTTTTTGGCTGATATTCTAAGAAGCCAAAATCCATGGTCGACAAAGGTGAACTTTCATCTTTCTATTACATTTTTTCCCCGCCTATTTGTGAATTGAAAATCATGGATAAGTTCATTAGGATTTTGCAATGAAACGAACGGAATAGTTTTCAACTTTTTGAATAAATGCATGGAATGCTGCTCAAAAGTGGTTGCTACAAATGTGTTTTAGGAAAAAAAATTTAATTCTGATTATGATGATGACGATGACGATGATGATTTTTTTATTTCTTCTTTGCAACTCTGATTTGACGACGATGATGATGATGGTTTTTTTTTTTTGTAACTTAAATTTTTTAACGAGAACTTTCAGAAGCATCTGGGAGCAACTTTTGGAATTTCTGAACCCATGTTTCTTTTTTTTTTTTTTTGGCGTATTTTAGTTTTTACAAAGAATTGAAACTGAAGATGTACAAATGAAGATTCTGTTTAGAATTACTTTTCGAGCTACCCCTATTGCCTTTACTTTTTCCAATAAGCTCCTTGTAATTTGATGACTTTTTTCTTCAATCGATTAAACTTCAAGGTGACCGTTACTTATAGTTTGAAAGAACTAAAGGGAGAAAGGAAGGTGGAAATTAATGATGGTGTGGTTGTCGTTACAGAGGGAAAGGAGGAGGAGGAGGAAAGGTTTGCAATGTTTTGGTCAGGAGAAACGGGAAGTAGAGACGAGCGAGAGTGAAAAATTAGTCAAATGAAAGGTTCTGGGGAGATTTTAGAATTAGGACTAGATTTTTATTGTTTTATTGTTTGAGTCGGTTGGGAGTTGAGCAATTTGGTCCAGATTTTTATTTCCTATTATTTTTAAATTTATAATTTTTTTCTTGTATAAGAAATTATAAAGGTGGTACTGTCTATTCAAAATATTTTTATTGTTTGATTTTTGATAAATAAATTACCATCCTCCATAAGAAATATTTAAGTTCATACTTATTTTATTACTTTGACTTGTTCAACCGCTCTTTAGAAAAATTTTCCCATAAATTTTAATTAAGTCAGAGATTAGTGGAGATTGAATAATAAACTTTGACTTTATAAGGGCAGTTTTGGAAAAAAGAAATATAAATTTTTTCCCTAGAATCTAAAAATTGACTTGGCATTATCCCCACCCATATCAAATCACGTATATCCTTCTTACTCCCTCTGTCCTTGAAAAATAGTCCATTTCGAATTTTTAAATTTCTGCTAAAATTAGTATAAATATCAAAACCCAATGTGGACTATTATTTTGGAAGAGAGCGATTAACATTTTTCCGGTAAATCAGCTTCAAAATAGTCTTTTCTTAGGGACTCTTGCATAGAAAATGTTAAACTATTGGGAAAATAAGTAAGAGGCTTGTTTTTGTCGAACTCCTCTCAAATGGTCTTTCTTTTATTTTTAGTTTTTTTTCTCTGTCAAACCGTAACCACAAATAACGCCAATTATAATCGTTGAGTGGATATGGTTGCATAAATTAAAGTTTGTTTCCTCTACTGAGCTCCATCAAAAAGGTAATCAAGAAGTCACGGTTATGAAGTTTGTTTGGTTAATGGACGTTTGTCCCAGTCTAATTCTAATGTATCCATAATTTCCAATCTGATTCAGGTTAGAAGGGTGAATGAAAATGAAAGCCAGAAAGAGAATTTGGAATGGAGAAGAAAGCTTAACCTGGCTTAACCAAGCTTAAACTAAACTTGTTCCGTCACATGATTTGAAGTGTCCTATGAGATTTTTTCTTTTTTCCCTTGTGGTACCTACCTTACGTATGGATTTTTAAGAGGAAATATTTTGTTAGTAATAGGGTAAAGTATTTGGAATTGGAGCACAACTCAATGTTTTTCTTCTTCTTTTTTTCTTCCACAGGATTCTACCACAAGTTTAGTTTAAGCTTAACTAAGCTTAAGCTAAACTTGTTCCGTCACATGATATGAAGTTTCCTGTGAGATTTTTTATTTTTTTCTCCCCTTGTGTTACCTCCCTACATTTGGATTTTTAAGAGGAAATTTTCTGTTAATAATAAGGTAAAGTATTTGGAGCACAACTCAACGTTTTCCTTTTTTTTCTCCCACGGGATTATCCTTTTTCTTTCCGGGGCTATCTAGAATCCCAACTAATATCTTCCTTTACTATAAAGGCACAAGAAAAACCATAGATCCGATAGCGGGTAGGTTTTTTCATATCTTCTCATCAATCGATAATCATGGAATCCAGCAGATCCCGCCGATTCTACCGTACGGATTCACTTGGTCGCTCTCATTGGTCCAGTTCTCGCCCATACCATTCAGATCCCCCGCGCCGTCGATCTCACTCTTCCATGGCAGATCCATCGAGCTCTCGTTCTTCAATTGCTCGTATACCCTCAGTTGAGTGCGTATGCTGAATGCCATCGACCTTATTAATTGTCTCGCACGTTTTGCATATTCCTCCCTTTGGAAGTACACAAGCGGTATCCTGCTCATGCGGTCCACATCAATAATGGGGAAGGCGAAACTCGTGAATCCGCAAGACCTTCCGATTCTTCGATTGTCCAAGACTCTGAAATGGGTCCGTCCTTGTATCGCGTTGATGGCACTGGGATTCTGATTAAAGGGGAAAAAATTGGCCTCGGGATTTCGGAGTTGCATCTGCTTATGCTGCTGTGGACTTGAAGTTAGACAGTTCGATTGAAGGGAGTAAGCTGCCGTCGCCACCGCAGCCCATATTCCCTTCAAGAAGTAAAGTTTCTTTTTCATTGTTCTCTTCCTGCTTTTCGGTTCACTAGGTGAGATTTGTCAAGCAATTGTGCCTCTCACTGTATAGTCATCCTCATTTATTGTTATTTTATTATTTTTTTTTGTACAGTACCTAAGGACAGGTCTATTTGGTCTGTTGAAATAGCTGACTTTTGCGCGACAACGGTGATATGCCGAGTTGCATGTCATCCTGCTGAAGTTGATCCTTTCGTGTCTTTGTATCGTGTTGGACCTGGTGGGTGTGCTCAGATTATTTCTATGCAAGATTGGAAACTGTCCCGAGGGCACCTTCTAGTCTACTGCAAAGATTATTTCAGTGCTCGTAGTTTAATATACGATGATGTCAACAATTTTTGGGAGCAATTTTATCTCGGCTATTATATCTTGCGGATGTTGTTTGATACTCCCTCCGTCCCAAAAAAATATAGTCCAGTTTGATAAAAAAATCTTGTCCCAAAAAACAGTCCAGTTTAAAAAAAAAAAAAAAAGTCTAAATTAAATTCGCTGAAATGACTTAAAAATCCTCATCACAAATTAAAATTTTGGTTATTCCTTCCGACTTGTACACCCAATTTGCAACGTGAACTGGCCGCTGGTGGATTATCCTGACTTCTTCTCTGTCTTTTGAAGATGAACGATCCTGTTGGGTTATCGTCGTTTGATTTGCCCGTTCGGCGTGTCCGACAGAATTGTGAGGAAAAAGCCGCTTCAGGAATCAAATCTGAAGAGAATGATTTTGGCTGATGAATAGACCAATCGGCCGGAATTGAAACTCGGAATCGTGAGAGGAAATGACAGCAACAAGAACAACAAGAAGGCGGCGGCTGAAGAAAGGCTGAAGGGAGGAAAAAGCTGAAGTCCTTGACCGCGGCGGTGGGTTTGCGTTTGCTGGTTGAAAGAAGAAAAGTAAAAGAAGAAGATCCGATGGTTTCTAGCTTATGATGGATAGAGGTGATAAACAATTAAACAGGGATATTATTGGAATTCACATGCTAAAATGAGTTGTACCTTGATGGGGTTGACCAAATTAAAAATGTTGTACATTTTGAAACTGGACTATTTTTATGGGACAGAAGGAATAAATGCTTGTAGTATATCAATGTTTATATGATAACCACTAAAATGCAATTAAATGGATGGGAAAATTTTGTGGCATTAATGAAAGTTTGTTAATTTCCACTACTGCTATTTAATCCACTACGCGGTGTCAATATTCCCGTCAAGAAGATATTCTCAACAAGTCACTCACATAGACCATATTTGGCAAGTAGCAGTCTAAACTATAGTGAGAAGCACAAATCAAGAGAAATAAAAGTTGTTTCTTAACTAATAACAAAAGCAAACGGGAGTGATTAACGTGTTGTTGAGCAGCATTCATAGAGATATTATAGGGTCAACTTTCTTAGGCCAAGGCAAACTCCCCCTCCCCTTCCCTCCCCCTCAGGTTATATTCCCAACACAGCACTACTGATGACCACCAGGTTAATTGATAGTCTTCTTCACTTTTGGATATATTGTTTAAGCCATTAGAAATGCAGCAGACTGACGATCAAGATCATTGTCTTCCTTCTTAGGTTTCGTCAGCATCTTCAGTATCCGATGATGATGAAGAAATTCAGTTCGGGGGATGATTCAAAGATGATGGATGATGAGGATTTTTTAGAGGAAATTTTTTCTTAAAAGGTTAAAATATTTGGAGGACAACTTTTTTTTCTTCTAATACAATTTTATTTTGTTCATGAGATCTTGAACAAAAAAGAGGAAAAAAAAATCCTACCTAAAAGTAGATTTAAAAATATCAAAGAGAATACTAAATTGTTGCTACATGACTAAGGAATCTATGTCGGTAAAGATCAAGAGAAAGTCATTGCGATCAATTTACTTATCACATGAAGTTTTGATGCACGAAAGTAAATCAGAATATCGAACGTGAGTTATGGAAAGTATACAAAGCCACGAAATTAATAGAAAAAATTAAACATTCATAACTGATTGGTGTCTTCTTTGAGTGGTTATTTCATCCTCGAAAATCCTCAAACTCAGAGTTAGTGCAGTCTAAAGAAGTCTGGCTTCCATAATCTAAAACGGTAGCTCATGACTATACTGAGAAATACCCCAAAAGCATAGTTGCAATCGAGTATTCAAATATGATAGAGTCAAATTTCTAGCATTTGACTACAGCATTACCGTTAATGTTGCACAATTGCTCAGTGAAATCTGCAGTTGCCTTCGATGGGGGATGCTGCTTCACATGAAGTTGATGGCTACTCTTGTAGGTGATCATTCATTCAACTCAAGTATTCTCTGTCATGTACGGAAAGAGTGTCGCAACAATGCGAATACAGGGGGTTAGTAAACCTACTATAAAAGTGACCACCATTATGTTTCACAAAATTCGAGAAGACATCAAATAAAGATGGTCATAGATAGAATATATTTGGAGTTCCTTTTGGCTAGCTTCGATGACTAAACCCTGTTAGTAAATTACATCAATGCGATGAAATTATTGGGGATAAAGAGACATCAAAAGATTTTATAACACTCCAAACAGAGTAAGGGAACGTCTGCACAAATATCATCGACGCACTAGAAACCTTGAATGACTTTAATTATTAAAATCATTCTGTTATTCAATAAAGTAAAATTATTAATTCGATTGCACCACTTCTATATTTCGCATAACACTTGAGCAATGTATTAATAAATTGACACATATTTTCTTCTAACGCAACTTCATATGATCATGAGAAATTGGAGTATAAAAGAGGGGGAAAAGAGAAAACAACAAAGTTGCATTTTCAATATGCGTAGAAAGAGAGGGTTTTTTTCAGGGCTCAGCTTTGTTTTCTGGGAGGTACATGGCAGTGGTTTACAATTGCTAGGCAGATACCAGAAGTATGGATTTTGAAGAATGGGCATTGGGATAAGGATATTTTGAGTGATGACTGGCTTGACACAGTGGAAAAAATAAAGTAGAAAATGATGGTTAGCTGAAGTTGGTAACTCTGATGACTTCAAATATAATGAACCTTTTGAGGCAATTTGTCTTCTCTTAAACTATGATTTGTTGCCAAAACAGTATGATCGCAACCTCATGATCAATAATGTTGCCGGGAAAAGTTTCACACACTGTGTCCAGCCAAGTTTTGATGACGAGTTGATGGTCCTATACACACTTGTTTCTCCTGTTCACGGGAACAGATGCTTTGAGGAAAGGGTGGAAGCACCTTCTACAAGCAGAATTTAATTCCCCTTTCTCCTGGATTCTTAAAAGTTGTGCAGTATTCGTGCTTCTACAAGCACCTTCTCTTTTGATCTTCCATAGTTTCATTTGAATTGTTTGTGAAGAAGATTTGTTTGTTCCTTCATCTTTGTTTATGTTAATCTGATAAATGTAACTAGACGACAATATCATGTTGACTAGTTTCCCCCATGACCTGATTAAGCCAAAAAAAAATGATGCTATGAATTTTATTAGACTTGGAAGGTTCATTAAGGGCACTGGCCTTTTTTTTGAAAATCATAAAATTAGGCCCTTCACTTTAATTTTCATTGCAGATTCCAAAAAGGGGACCAAAGTATCTAATTGCAACATCAATTATATTATAGTTGGCCACTAAAACACTATGCTTGTTTGGACGTCAACTTACATTTCATTTTGCCACTTAAAAGTGGAAAGTATTTCAAATTGAAAACTAAATGGGAAATAAAAATGTTGTTTGGATGTTGGTTTTGGAAAAAAGTATTTTGAACTACATTTTGAAATATCAAGTACAAGTCATCACTAAACAATTAAATACTGTCAATTATAGTCACTGCAAAAAAGAACTTTTCCAAAAACAATCACTCAACAATGGAATCCTGCCAAATTTGTCACTGAACTATTTGTAGTTCTAAAATGGTCATTACACTAACAAAAAGTGTTTCAAGTTGGAATTTAAAATGTAAATCAGAAAGTTATTTGGATGATGTTTTCTTTTCCATTGAGTTTTGTGTTTAAGAAATAAAATGAGTGAAAATGTAAAATGAGTTGATGTCCAAACAAGGACTTGAACAATTACATACAGTAAATTAAATCACCCCCGGTTCATTCTTATCATACAATACGGGGAAAAAAAACTAAACAAACATTTCCATAACTCAATAATTAGGATTTCCGTATGGTTGCAACCTGAATTTGATAGATTAATCACTTGAAAACTGAGGATCCTCTTGGTGGATTTGCTCTTCTTCCTTCTCAATAAAATTCACTGAAGGTAAGAAAGCGGCAAACTTATTGTGGGGTCATCTCCTTGACCATGTCTATAAACTTTTGCATAAAAATGTCTAACAAACTTTTGGTGTGAGATAATTTGTTTTGAATGCGAAATCGAATCAGGTTTTCTTGTTATCTTCATTGACAAATTATTTTTGCTCCAATTTGGAGAACTCATCCCTGACATGAAACTTAAGGAACTCAATCACTCTATCTAGAACTTTGTTGGTGATGTTTGGGAGAGGGATAATGGAGGAGTCAGAGCAACCCTCCTCAATCATCTTCTTAATGAATGCAGAACCGGAGACCACATATGCCTCAATCTCAAAGCTAACACTACTGAAGGAGATCAACTTGATCATCTCTAGTGCTGCTCCCCTGTAATTATGTTTCTTAACAAAAAAAAAAAAGGGTGACCGTTTGTTTCAAAGATTTTATCTTTCGATTTAGATGCATGCGTTTGATTTTCTACTGAATGTTATGCCCTTAAGCCAAGTTTAAATTTGTGCCGTTAAGCCAAATTTATAATTGTACAACATTAGAGAGATCAAATTGTAATATTTAATTGTTTGATTGATTACTTTAGTTTAAGTACAATGTTCCTTATTGGTCGCATTAAAACTCGTAAAATTTAATTATTTGATTAATTCTTAATTGATGAGTGCTTATTAATAGAATAAATAACTTTGCTAATAGAGGGAACAGTTCGACTAGATCAAAAGCTATGCAATATTTAGAAACATAG